TTACAAGAAGCAAATATATAATAATATTAAAAATGAAAGAATGTTCGATTGATGCAGGTACATTGTTTCGGATTGTGACTCGTTGAATGTGATGTTCGGTGACCAACACTTTACCAAGACCCCGGAGGAGACGGCTGCTTTGGCTGTGAAATCAGGTGTGTAAAATGTATAGTTTGAAGAAAACAAGTTGATCTATAAAAGAAAAGACAAATGAAAGATATTGATTTTCTTCAACTCAGGGTTGGATCTCAATTGTGGATCTTTTCTCGTCAACAATGCTCAAGCCGCAGTCGACCGAGGGCTCCTCAAAGAAAAAGACATCGACCGAGCCATCACGAACAATTTCGCGACCATGATGAGGTTGGGCTTCTTTGACGGCGACCCCACCAAACAGGCCTATGGAAATCTGGGGCCCAAGGACGTGTGCACCTCGTCCAACCAGGAACTCGCGCGTGAGGTTGCCCGACAAGGGATTGTACTTCTCAAGAACACTAAAGACTCTTTGCCCTTATCTCCTACCACTATCAAATCCTTGGCCGTGATCGGGCCAAACGCCAACGCGACAGTACCCATGATTGGAATCTATGCCGGTATAACCATGCTGCATCGGCAATTGGGATTTTTATATATTTATTTGTAATCAAACCAAAACTATTTCTGCAGGCAAGCCATGCAAATACACGACGCCGTTGGAGGGCCTGACGGCCTTAGTCCCCACTGTCTACCACCGAGGCTGCGCTGACGTGGCGTGTGCTTCCCCCGAGCACGAAGATGCCAGCAAAATAGCGTCGGAGGCCGACGCCGTAGTTCTGGTGGTGGGGTCCGACCAATCGATCGAGAGGGAGGATTTGGACCGGTTGAGCATAACCCTTCCCGGCCGGCAACAACTTCTGGTGACAGAAGTTGCGCGGGCGTCATGTGGGCCCGTCATCCTCGTCATCATGTCCGGCGGAGGCATGGACGTCCAGTTCGCGAAAGACGATCCCAAAATCACCAGCATTCTCTGGGTCGGGTTCCCGGGTCAGGCCGGCGGGGCCGCGCTCGCTGACGTGGTGTTTGGAGATCACAATCCGAGTAAGTCAACTGAAATGTGGTTGTTTTTGTTAGGGCTGCAAACGAGCCAAGCCGAGTCGAGCATTGGCTTTATCGAACAGGATTGATTTTTCTTTTTAGCTGCTCGAGCTCGATTTTTTAGGCTCGAGCTCGACTCGATAAAAATATTACAAGAGCTCGAGTTCGATTCGATTTTTTTCAAGAAATTTTGTAAGATAACCATTATGTACATATATACACAAGGGGCATTTTAGTAATTTCATATACCTCGAGCTGCTCGCGAGCCGCACGACAATGCCAAATATGGGCTCGAGTTCGGTCAAACTCGAGCTCGAGTCGAGCTTTGACTCGAGCCGCACGACAATGCCAAATATGGGCTCGAGTTCGGTCAAACTCGAGCTCGAGTCGAGCTTTGACCAAGTCAAAGCTCGACTCGTTTGCAGTCCTAGTTTTTTTAATCTTATCTCTGGGGTCGTTTTCGTAATTTTTTACGGCAGGTGGAAGGCTACCGATGACGTGGTACCCGCAGTCTTACGCGGATAGCGTCGAGATGTCGGACATGAACATGAGGCCCGACCCGGAGAGAGGGTATCCCGGGAGGACTTACCGATTCTACGCGGGCCCCACGGTGTTCTCGTTCGGGGATGGGATCGGATACACGGAGTTTCGGCACGAAATGGTGAAGGCGCCGACGCTAGTGTCGGCTTCGCTCGGAGAAAAGCACGTGTGCCGGAGTTCGACGTGCGAGTCGTTTGACGCGAGTGAGGATTGTAAGGATGTGGGGATTGAGGTTCATTTGGGGGTGAAGAATGTGGGGAGAGTGAGCGGGACGGAGACGGTGTTGCTGTTCTCGAGTCCGCCGGACGTGCACGGGGCGCCGCGGAAGAATCTGGTGGGGTTCGAGAAGGTGTGGTTGGGTCCACAGGAAGCGGGTGTGGTGAGGTTTGGGGTGGATGTGTGCAAGCATTTGAGTGTGGTGGATGAAGAAGGGAATAGGAGGGTGGCTTTGGGGGAGCATGTTCTTCATGTGGGAGATTTGACGCATTCCTTGACTGTGAGGGTTTGAAGAAATTTCACGTTTTTTTTTTCTTTTTCTTTTTGTGTTTCTTTTGGAATGAAGAATGGGGAGAGAAAAATCTGCACAAGGTTGTGTAGGAGAAGGATTACGATTGTGTAACAGATTTCTTCTTGGATTTGATTCACAAGAAATGTCAAAGCTTGTGTTGTGTATGGGAAGATATGGAATGTGCTGGGTTTTATGTGTGACCGTGTGAGCAATGTCCCTTTTCCTTATGCCAACCGTTTTTGGTCTACTCAAAGGAAAAAAAAAAAATTAGAATGTGTTTATATATTCTTGTGTTTGATTTGTTAATTGCGATATTTAATAGTTTAATTTCAAGAATTAGTAGTTGTTAATCAAAACCAACAAACTTGAATTACAATGTGTAACCTCCCTTGAGAACCTCCCTTGAGAACACGACCAGGTGTTCGAATCTTTTGATTCTACTCTGGTAAAATAAACAACAAATACATAGTTCAAAACCTTATAATTTCATGACTGCAGTTTCCATGAAATGAGATTAGAGGAGGACAAAATTGTCATACACGTCCCTGGGTTTTGCGTTTTGGTACTTAAGTACTTAAATATTTCACATAATCGGCCAATGATAAAACAAGTATATAAACTATTTCAAGCCTGATTGTTGAAACAGAAATCAATTCTACTAGTCATCAGCATACGATTTGATTAAAATTAACCAGACTCCAGACAACGAACTTTGCGAGAATGAAAACAGTGTACACATTCACGAAATTCATTTGAAAAATATAGATCCCAAAGGCTTACTATGGACAGCAGGACAAAGTTTCAAAGTAGTACACGAAATACAAAATGCAGCACTGGTTCAAGTCAATTAAGACAAACACACGATAATCTCATTTTTTCTGCTTCCCAGATCAGAAACCATCCAAACTACCACGAACCCTCAGCACCTGCAGTGGGATTCTTGAAAGCATTGAAATCCCAAAAAGTCTTCAATGCATACGGCTTAGAAATCGTGACACCTTCCTCCGTGATTTTTGCAATCTGAAATGAAGATTCGGGTGGTTAGGGGTATAATTTAAGAAGCTAACTACAATTTGTGGGGAAAAGGGAGTACTATCGAATGTCAATTGGTGTCCACACTTTCCCATCAACATTAAAAAAAAGTTGGCCGATTCTTTAAGGCGAGCTTTGTTATTCTTAGTTTGATTTCATTTTGGAATACAAATGTTGGGCTGTCTTGAGTTATTGATCTATTCACCTAGTTCCGAAATAAAATAGTAGTTGCATTTCTTGAAAGAAGTTATAAATACCTGAAGTTTGTTAACAGCCGATCTATCGCGATAAAGGAGCACGCGCATGCATTTCTCCAGTAATTTTACACCCTCGTCATATGTCAAGTTCTCATTCCATTCATCACGCAGAATGGGCCGGGCAAGGTGATTACCAAATCCAGTTGCCAAATGGTTGTCCTCATAGTGCACACCAATCATGCTAACCTGAATTACATAAAGAATATAAATATATATAATTATATATAAAAATAAATTAAAAAAATATAGAAATCACATACTCAGGTATACCTCAAACTAACAAACACATTGTTGATTATGCATAGAAGAAACAATACATACCGTCCCAAGATACTTCTGCCCGTTTTTAATTCCCCCAAGCACAAGTGAGTTCCAAAGTGGGTTGAACTTATTACGACGGTTGTACATCACCCTTGTCAGGTAGTTATGGACCTCCTTAGGTCCCAGCGAGTTTCCATCATCCCACATGTTATCATATAAGCTGCATCCCAAAAATGCAAAAACCAAGAGTCATAATATTCCCACAGCTCATACAAGCACAATTAACAGCCAACCCAGCAATAAAGCAATCGGCAGAAAGAAATCAACTTAAAAGTTATATCCAGTCAAGTTATATAAGATTTACATAAGCTCATCGAGATAGCGCATTATCTCCTGAAAGTCGCTTATTTCACCACTGGCACCTATAACAGAGTGCCTTCCTACAGGCTTCAATCGCTCCACGGTTTTGTAACGCAGGGTAGACCCATATGAACCTATTAAAGAAAAAAAAATGTGAATAACAGAACGTGAGATTGAGCAGTTTCCAAAATCCAGAAGTATGCACATACGCCAGTGGACCAGAAGTAAGAAGAACAAAACAGTTTCAGCTGAATATTGGATATCAACTAACTTTTTAGTTATAGCTAAAGCCACTGGGGCTTAACAGTTATCCAAGACAATCCCTTTCATATGTTCTTACCAATTTCAAGAAATAGGCAAACGAAGGTGTCATATCAACCGACATGAAGTTGACATGTAGATTACCATATAATCAGTGTAACCTACCCAAATCAAGAAATTTTCAACCAAGATTATGTTAACAAATCACAAACAATGTCTTCGCAGCATAACAGGCTGCTGAACAGACATCAAATAGAACAGAATGTCTAAATAGTATATTCAGCCATAAAGCCACAGCTTTTTTTCTTCAGCAATATACTGAATGCAATCCACAAATAAAGACGTGCCAGTTACTGGAGATACCCTTACATTTTTTTCAACAAGACTAGACTAGCACAATTTTCAATTAACTAGCATGTGTAACAGTTTGATTTTCTCTTCACCTTATATACCTAACTAGGTAGCCAGAAGATATTTCAAAGCAAATGCAAACCAGAAATCATAGTCAAAATACGTTATACATATAATCTCATTTCAAATATCAAACTTCCATAGCATGTCCAGAGAGTTCAGCCCACTTCAATTTAACTTGGTCAAAAGACGCCACTAGTGTGGTACAGATTTGAACTATATAAATTATAAGATTCAAAACTAGATACCTCCGAAAGTAACAATCCAGATCCATATTTTAAACACGTCTATATAGATGCATAAAAATTGAAATCAGAATCACTTTCATGTCCATGATTAACTACTTAAATGTTTCTTAACTAGAGGCATCTTAAAAGCAAAACAAGAAGAAAATTTGCAAAACCCAACCTCCCATATCTGCAGCCAAGAGAATGCCATCTTTATACTTGATGCCAACCACTGAGGTACCAGTAACATATGGATACCTACAAGATAAAGATAATTAGAAACTCCATAAGGGAAAAAAATCAGAGGAAGATCAATACATAAGCAAAGATGAACATAAATAAACAAATAAACGCCCATATTATAGAATCCAATTAAACATCATAAATAAATTTGATTAAGCTAAATCCCTAGTTCATAAAACTTTTGGAGAATCAGGATAAAGGATCTCCATAAGTAAATCAGATAAATCATAGTACACTCATACAGAGTTCTTTGAGAATCGGCTTCGGAGACAAGCAATTTGCTCATAGTTGGGGTTGAATCTGCCAACTGCAATTATGAAAAAATTGAAATATTAAAACCAAAAATTAAAAAAAGGAATCAACTTTCCATGGATCATACGAATCGGAAACACAGAAAAAGGAAATGCCAAACTTACATTCATTTCGAAGATGTATGCTGCTGCGACTGTCGAAAAACTGAAGGAGACGAGAAAAAAAATTCTTCTTGAAGTTTGGGGAGAAAATTACACCACTTACTATCCAAAGCAATTTTATTTGCACATTTACTAATCATTTACTTTTTTTTGCAATTATACTAACAATTAAATTTTCTAAAAATACTTACTAAACTCACACAATCACCATAACAAATTGGATTTTTCACACCATCCGAACGGCATCAACAGGTCTTGGACCACTGCTAATTTGTATCACATTAACAGGCAATTGCAGGAAAATTATATATAAGTCAACATAAATACAACAAAGATACACAATTAGATACGCAAATTCTTCTAAGNCAAAAATTCAAGATTGAAGCTTCGGTACAATGCGTAACAACACCAGGAGGTATACTCATTTACTTTGAAGGATGGGATAAGACAATATTATCAATCGTACTTTACAGCTCAGCAATCACTCGCTTGTTTACTTTGAAGGATGAAATTTACATAAATTAATCTCATCTTTATTAAGCGACAAGATAAACAACAAAAGACTAACTTACCCTTATGTACAAAATCGAATTCATTCTTCTCCCCCGAGCCTTCACTCATCTCCATTTTCATGAATTAAAAACGCAGAAGTTAAAAACGCAGAAGTTAAACATATTACACAACAGTGTAAGGATTCTTAACATCTAATCAGAAGTCGGTGTAAAAACAGAAATGAATGAAGCAAAACATGTTGACCATCCCGATTTCTTGAACCACATAAAAACGGGTCGGTGAATTTTCGATTAAGCAAGCACGAGACGGATAAAAAAACACACAAAAAAATAAATAAATAAAGAATCCAGTGAATGGGACACGAGACAGATAAACAAACACACAAAAACGATCGATGATAACAGTCAATACCGAAGCCGACTTGAGCCAACCGAACGAAAGAATAGGGTTTCTGATTAGAGGGACCAACACATTCATGACTTGAAGCCTGAATTAGCGAACACAAACAAAAAAAAAAGGGAGCGTAGATCTTACCTTGGCGGCGGAATGACGAAGAACTCCACTTCTCCCTCTGCAAGTTCGATTTAGTTAGGTTAGGGCAAGATTTGGTGAGGATAACATTAATTGGTGGTTTATGTAATTAAATGGATATGCAGGGGTGTATATGTCTTTTTACATGCAGTTTTGAGGACAAAATGCGGATAAACAGTGGCGGATAAAAAAATCCGGGACTCTGGACGGGACTAAAATTATCGCCGAAGAAATGATATAGCTGTGGGGCCCGCCGCCACATCTGCGTCCACCTCATTTAGTCCTGTCTCAATTCTTGGATGTAAAGATACTGAGGGATAATTCACCTTATCAATCTTATCCTCCAAAATAAACGAGCCCTTAATTTTCAAAGAATGGAAACCAACCGCACAACAAATCAACGAAGAATAAAATTCAAGAATCCAATAATTGAACAAAGTTTATACAGATGAAACAAGTAGAATATTGTAAGATGAAAGTGCATATAATCTTACTTTCCCAAATTTGTTCTTTGTCCATATTATTCTCTTATGTGTTTTAAATAAAAACATTATAAATAAAATTAATGATGTATATAAATTAGTTTTCAGAATTTAAAATAATATTGTTAATTCACTTAGTTATTTGTTATATATTGTTCCTTATTTACTTTTTTCAACTTCAACAAAATATATAAACATTTTGTTTTTTATTTTTTTGTTGTAAATTTGATTATTTTATCAACCACCTGTGTAGTACACGGGTATTGTACTCAGTGACGGATCTAGGATTTTTACTCAAGGGGGTCCAATTTTAAATACAAAATAACGAACTTGTAGTTTAAGTCAAGACGCTCATTTCATATAAAACTGTTTACTTATAAACATAAATATCAATATATGTATCATCATGTTTTAAAAAATTTAGAATCTATATCACCATCAAAATTTTACATAAATAAACAAAAAATAAGATATTTCATGTATTTATAATTTAATTTCAACATCTAGAATTTATAAGAAAAAAATAAGTTTTTTGATTTAGAATTTGATTTAAATTTAACATTTACAGCACGTTGCGTTGCATTTTTGTTTATTAGAGCTTATCAAACGACCACTTTTTTTTAAAAAAAAAATAATATTAAAAATATGTGATTACACAAAAAAAAATAATAAAGGAAACAATAAACATTAAAAAATCTAACAATCCAACTAAATACTTGGTTTTATAAATCACTAAATCGATTTACAATTAAGAGGCTGAAAGAGTAAATCATTATAAATATGTTTAAAAATTTATCTATTAATATAAAGTATTAGGATCGTTAGTATATTGTTGGGAGAGACATATTTTTAATTTTCAAAGAATGGAAATTAACCGCACAACAAATCAACGAAAAATAAACTTCAAGAATTCAATAATTGAACAAAGTTTATAAAGATGAAACAAGTACTTTATAAGATGAAATTGCCTAGTTATAATACTAATGCCACCAGCTCTAAAATTTCGACTTATTTATAAAGGTATTACAAATATATAAGAGTTGGACGAATAGTACGAATGTTTGGGAGTTTTCAAGAATAAAAGAAAAACTAAAGAAGAGAAGTTTTATAAACTTTTAAATAATGGACGACCACTCGTTAATTTAAAGTGTTAAAAATGTAACAATAATATTATTATTATTACTATTATTATTATTTTAACGAAACAGTAGATTAAATAATTAAACAAATGTACACAAAGTTATTATTATTATTTTTTTTTATCGTTATTTTTCCCTTTTTTTTTTGTTATCTATATTCATTGTCTAAACTCTAACCTCATCTGTGCAAAAACATCGCCATGGAGGCACTGAGCAGCTGCAACCTCAGCCGAAATCCTCACCCCAAATCTTCCCCTTCACGTTTGCCAAAAACACCTCCGAAAACAACCAAAGTTTCTCTAAGTGTGAAAGCGAAGTCCCCACTCTCACACCTAAAAAATGGCAGACCCAAAAAGTTTAGCGACAAGGATGCCTTTCCCAATTCCATTCCCATCCACAACAGAAACCCGTACGCCATCTACAGAGACATCCGGAATTTGGCCAGCCAAGATAAGCTCAAGGAGGCTCTCGCCATGTTGGACTACCTCGACCAGCGTGGCATCCCCACCAACCCCACCACTTTCTCCCGTCTCATCTCGGCCTGCACGGAAACCAAATCCATTGATGCAGCAAGACAAGTCCACGCGCACATTAGGATAAACGGGCTCGCCGAGAACGAGTTCTTGCAGACGAAGCTCGTGCAGATGTACGCTGCCTGTGGCTCAATCGAGGACGCAAAGAAGGTGTTTGAGAATATGCGTGTTACGAGTGTGTACCCCTGGAATGCGCTTCTTAGGGGCAATGTGGTCTTGGGTGGGCGTAACTACCATGAAGTGATGGGGTCATTTTCGGAAATGTGGGCTTCGGGCGTCGAGCCGAACATTTACAGCTTCTCTTGCCTGATCAAAAGTCTGGCTGGCAATAGGGCCCTGTACCAGGGCTTGAAAACTCATGGAATGTTGATAAAGAACGGGTTTCTGGGTAGCTGTATGGTCAGGACGAGTTTGATTGATATGTATTTCAAGTGCGGCAAGGTTAAGTTGGCTTGTGCTGTTTTTGAGGAAGTTGGGGACAGAGATGTGGTGATATGGGGGGCAATGATAGCCGGGTTTGCTCATAATCGACTGCAAAGGGAGGCATTGGAGTACACAAGATGGATGGTGAGCGAGGGCGTATCAGTCAATTCCGTCATATTGAGTACCATTCTTCCAGTTATTGGAGAAGTTTCTGCGAGGAAAATAGGACAGGAGTTTCACGCTTACGTGATCAAGACCAAAGGGTACTCAGAGCAGCCATTTGTTCAATCTGCATTGCTCGATATGTACTGCAAGTGTAAGGACATGGTTTCGGGAAGAAAGGTGTTTTATGGGTGTACAAAGAGAAATGTAGTTTTGTGGACCGCTCTTTTGTCTGGTTATGTGTTAAATGGGAGGCTTACGCAGGCTCTGAGGTCGATTGTATGGATGCAACAAGAAGGGTTCAAACCTGATTTCGTGACAGTTGCCACTGTCCTTCCAGTTTGTGGGAAGCTCAAGGCATTTAAGCAAGGGAAAGAGATTCACACTTATGCACTGAAAAATGGGTTTTTACCGGGCATATCTGTAGCTTCTTCACTGATGATAATGTACTCGAAATGTGGTGCTTTGGACTATAGCGTGAGAGTATTTGATTGCATGGAGAAGAAGAATGTGATATCATGGACGGTCATGATTGAGTGTTACATGGAGTTTCGATGCCTGGACAAAGCTGTTTGTGTTTTTCGAGAAATGCAGTTGTCCAAGCACAGGCCAGATTCTGTTACAATTTCTAGGATACTGAACGTTTGTGGCAAACTTAAATTGCAGAAACTCGGGAAGGAACTACATGGACAGGCTTTGAAACGAGATTTGGATTCTGTTCCTTTTGTTTCAGCAGAAATAATGAAAATGTATGGGAAGTGTGGGGCATTTGATAAGGCGATGTTAGCTTTTGATGCGGTTCCTGCGAAAGGGTCAATGACATGGACTGCCATTGTCGAGGCTTACGGATGCAATGGTAAATATGAAGAAGCTATACATCTTTTCAAGAAAATGGTGTCAGATGATTTTACTCCTAATCAGTACACGCTTGAAGTGATTCTGAATATTTGTGGGGAAGCTGGATTTGCAGATGACGCTCTGAGTTTCTTTACATTAATGACTCGGGAATATAAAATTCAGGCATCTGAAAAACATTACTCAAGCATCATTGATGTTCTCTCTCGTTCGGGTCGAATGGAGGAGGCTCAGAGATTTATACGATTGAGATCATCCTTGGCTCATTGATCATAAGGTTAAATGTAATCATGTTTGTCAATGGCCTGAAAGAAACGAGTTCAGATTAAAATATGATTGCCTGTTGTTACTTTTTTATGTGTATTAGCCGATAGAGCCTCTCTACCTTCAACATTCTTGAGGATTTGGAGACGTTGAGACTTCTCTTGAAAATTGTATCCTTATATATATTGGCAACAAACTATTCTTACTTTAAAGATACTGTTTTTTTTTTTTTNGTCTGTTTTTTTTTTTTTTTCTTTTTCACTTTCTAGATTACATGATCTCTTCGAGATCTTCTTATTGCTTTCTCTTTAATTATGACGTTAAACTATCAGTTTTTGTGCATCTATAAGTGTTCAAGCATCGACCATGCTCCATTCACCAACAGAACATACATTTGTCTTCCTGATGCATTTCTCTGCACGTTGATACATTTTGCAATACATCATATCAAACCCCTACTTACTGAAACAACCCCTACTTATGAATTGTTGCTTGGTTTCTTTAACCCTTTTAGGTGCCGGAGTACTCTTACTCCCTGGATGAAGAAGGCATTGGCTAGACAGCTTTCTAAGTTCTTTTTGCATTTGATGAAGTTATCCCAGTTAGATTCAAGAAAGTTATATGGTTGCACAAGTCAAACAGTACTGTGAAATGGAAAGTCGTGAAGAAAAATTGCACAAGTTTGCCTCACAAGTCACAAAGTAAGATCAACGAAGTCAAGGACGTCATGACTCATAAAGTGCAATGCCAGTGAGATTGGTAAAATCAAGGTAATTACTTTGGATCTCAAGTTTGATGATTATATTTTAGCACCAATTTCCCAGTCATGGTGCGACTCATTTATTTTTGTAGTGACAGTGGCATACCATATAGTAGTGGTTTTGGAAGTGGTTCCGGATTCTTTTTAAGCACTGAAGTGGATTTGTCCTCTAAACCTAGTGATTTGTTCTCAAAATGTAAAGCTATTTATTAATCTGTATTAAGTCCTCAAATGTTTTGGAAATGAATTAACACTTGTTTAAATATGAAAACTTCAAATGTGCTCCTTTTTCCTTTGTTCTCTTGAATAATTACTCTTTGGCATAGTTTGATCTTTTCTAGAAACAGAAGTGTGACAATCTTGTCATCCTATTACATTACAGAAAACCATACATGGCATACCAATTCATAAAATGGGCCATGTGCAGTAACTTTTATTTACAGGGTATGTTGTCACTTCAAATCCTTAAACCACTTCCCTCCTGCTCTTTATGAACATTTAATTTCAAAAGCACCTTCATTTTCTCTTCATATTCGTAGAATACATTTGAGTTATTTTTTTCTTTTTTCCTTTTTTTTTTTCTTTTCAGATTGAAACTTGTGGCTCCAGGAATTATCTACAAAACGCATCCCAATATTAACAAGGAATTGTTCTCTGTTGAGAACTCTTGTGTCCCAATGATCCTAATTGCCTGTTTCCTGCTGGCCAGTCTGGTGATGGCCTTCCTTTGTCGAAGTGGAGAATGCAAAGTGCAGACAAGTCACTTGTGCCATTGTCAAGTGAGATTTGCTTTTCCTCTACCCCTGCACTAAAATTGTTGAGGAGTTTTGGTTATATATATATAAATATACATATTTTTTTTTTCATGTTGTAGTTAACTGCTGGCCTTTTGTTTCGGGGGTTGAGTCCTATGTAAATTTGGAGCATGTAGCTTCAATCCCTCTTCCTGCTCTTAGATTGCCGCCTTTTTTTTTTCAAGGTAAATTGATTGTTTAATAGATTAAACTAGGATAGTGAAGCAGATGTATTAACTGCAAATTTCAATATGCAGTTATGATTTGTCTGAGACTGTAGACTTGAGATGATTTTTTCTGAAATAAAATTAGTTAGTTGAGTATCGGTTTGTTATTATGAGTAATTGACGTGAGTGGGTAAACGATCCAGTTATGCAGTTTGTGCTTACAAATTACTATAATAAACTGTTAATTTGATAGAAATGGGAAAAGCAGAAGAGAATCACTCTGTACATTTGCCCAGTGTGAAATTTTATCATAAAATCAAATTTGAACTGTAGGTGAGAGCTTGGCGTGAGATGAACTATGGATCGTATTGCTTAATTCTTCTTGTCTCTTTAGCATATGATTATTTGATAATCATTGTCGGATATTTGCCCTATTTGATTTTTTAGAATCTTGTTTGTAACTTTGAGCTACACTGGTTCTTACCTTTGTCTAATAACTTAAGACTGTTGACTGTTCTTAACTTCAGAATGACTAAGCAGAAACTCATGTGAATGTTATACAATTATTTCGTTCACTTGTTTCAATGTTCAGTCTGTTATATATGATATACAATATAATGCTTTTGGCATTTTTAACCTGATTAGGACACAAAATCCTCCCTGACAGGTTGCTATTACCGAAATTAGTTTTAACCGATTATTATCCCCCAGCCTTGGATTTCAACTTTCTAACTATCTTTATTTTTCTTTGCAGTTGCTGAGCGTTTATGTATTTGGGGAAACTGTAAACACACACTCACATTTTATGTCATTCTCTGTAAGTATGTGCCGATCACGATAAATTTGCAGGTATTGTTCCTTTTGAGTTATTGCTTGGTAAAACTCGGTTTAGCTTGATTCAAATAACTAATTAAATCAACCTCACAATATACATGTTTGTCTTTTGTTCAATTTATTAGTAGCTCTATCTATCCATCAAACTGTGCAAAAATTGTACTAAAAAACATAACTACAGTCTGTCCACCTCAAAATTTGAAGAACCAATGTTATCACCTCCTATGTTTACATGCCCACCACTGTCATTTTACCATTTTCACAAATTATAAGAGATCAAATTTAAGAGAATTTTCCTATAACCAGCATTCCGTTGTAGCAATTACTGTACTCAAGCAATTTAAAGCTCATACAAAAATGGTGAAAAACGATCACCTTCTGATAAGTCACTTTCTTGAAGATCAAACAATGCCCAAAATATTTTCTTTTTTAATTTTTGTAAGATGGATTTTTAATAAATCAAAACTGGCATTGGCTGACCTAGCCAATAGTGAAATTCATCATTCTCTATGGTATTTCATCTCGTGGTTCTATATCTGATCGACGTAAGACTTCCGAATGAAACAATGAGTGCAAAAATAGATTTTACAATAAAATAAAAGAAACGCGAAAAGGGAGAGAGAAAAAAACAAAAAAAAACAAAAAACAAAAAGCTTTCTCTACATTTATAGCCTGAAAATGCGCTTAAATGATCTCAAGATCCCTTTACGACCTCCTTTTTTATCTTTGAATGGTTGATCAGTTTCATCATCATCATCATGATCAGGATTTGATGATAAAACGACATCTTGGTCATTGATCCTGCAATACCTCTCGGAAACAGACATAGATCTTTTGATTGAGAAGACCCTTTTAACAGCAGATGATGATGATGATGATGTAACAGAGGCATTTCTTCTAAACTTGGGTGCCCCACAATTTGGTCCATTTTCTATGTATGCATCTGCATTATCCAGTTTTGTATGTGGTTCAAGAGTTTTGGATTCTTCGGGTTGCTGATTGCATTTGTCTTTAATCGGAGAGGAAGAAATCAAGCAATATGATGATGATTCACTACTCAGGTGCAAGTTTTTTATCTTGCTGTAACCATTCATCTTTCAGGTTTTCTTTTTCTTTGATTTGATGTTTTTGTTGTGTTGTCTTCTTAAATTAAAACCAGGAATAATAGGAAGGAATTTAGGTGTGTGTGTGTGTGTGTGTGGCACACATTTGGACAAGGAAGAAAGTGGAGTTTGTTTGAATGGAAGTTGTGAGTTTGGACTTTGAAATAGAATTCAACACCCCTTATAGAAAAATAATTTAATATGGGTTAGATGCCCCTAGAAATTTACCGGCTTCATAAGAAATTTCACATGCATATGGAGGTCAATGATCCGACATTGTTGGCCACGACAACGTAACAATTCTTTTTGACTATAGGAAAATGAAACAATTGATTACATGGTTCTATAACTTTCAAGAACCCGTAAAAAATGAAATCATCCACTTTGCTTTTGTACGTGCCACCTGGTCTTTGACTCTTTATAACTCAGATTTGATATACAAAGTTTTAATTTTTACCAATAAAAGAATAGACGATTATCTTTTAAACCCCAATATATCCACATGTATTTTCTTTATACAGTGTCATAAAAAAAACTTTCTTTTCACTTACTCACGAAACTATATGCAAACGAACCGTATAATTAACAATTATACGAAATTTTATCGTATATATAGTAATTTTATCCAGTAGAAATAGTAAAAGGGATAATGTACCTTACATAGAACTTAACTTGGTATCGTTAGTGTTGTTAATGTGCAAGGTTAGTGTTGTTCTTCCCTCGGCATTTTGTATCAAGAAGACCACTTAGTTTTGAGCTTGTTTAGACATTTGTGCCTCGTATTTCTTGTTGCTTTAATATTTTCCGTCCATCATGTGTGATTTATTTTCCCTAGTATCCTTATACTTGGATCATAAAGTTTGTGGTCGATTGATAATTGTGGGAGTGTTTAATTGGCTCACTGGAACGAAAAGTTAGCCTAGTTCGTCTAAACTCTTGAGATTAGGCCATCCGATCACCTAATTTTGTACTCTGTTTAACTCAAAATCCAACTCAAATTCAATCCAACTCAACTTTCTTCAATATTATCAATATAATTTAATAATACGAATCAATCATCCTCACGCATCATATTAAACTACCTATCACTTTCAATAATCTCTCATACTTTTATATCACATCAAATTTATTCATTACCTTTTAAATATTATTTAAGTAGAAACTCAAAATCATGCACAATACTTCACGCAATCAACTTTATTTGAAATTAATTCACTTTAACTCAAAATCTAACTAAAAGTGGTTTTAATTTGTTACCAATCGCATCTTAAACTTCTACCTAGCGTTGTTTTGCAAGTTGATCTGGTTCATGGTCAAGACATTCGAGACTAGCCGATTCAACCCAAGATGGTGATAATTCAACCACATTAACATCCATGTCAATAATTAATATAAGGAGCCCACTTCATTTGGTCAATTTAATTATATGGCTGCATATGATTTCGCTCCCATTAAGCTTGTTAAAACACAGAAGTTTTACCTCATTCGTTTCAGGTATGCGCTTGTGGGGCTAAACAAAATAATAATAACGACAATAATAATTAGAGATGTTAAATGGTCCTTGACCCAACAAGCCGACTCGTTTAGCCCGGAAAAAAACAGGGTTATGTCCTTCTATTAGTAGTTCATTTAAATTAGGACTTTTTTGGCCCAGACCGTTTAGCCGGCTCTAGGGGGAGGCACCATAGGCCCATGCCTAGGGCCTCCAATTTTTAGGGGCCTCAATTTTTTTTTTTAATGTTTTATATATTTGTGTTTGGTTTTGTTTATTTATACAAATAAAGAGGTTAATGACTAAATATGAACTTAGCCTATTACACACATCAAGAAGCTAATTAATGAAAGGGTCAATAGCAAAATATGTACTTTGTGTAACAATTTGAGTTCCTAAATATTTTATTTGTTTTTTTATTATGTTCGGTCAGAAGAAGTTGTGTGAGAATATAAATATTCTTTGTTGTAATATAATTTATATTTTCTCTTCCTTGATGTCTTCGTGACTGCTTGAATGCAATTTATAACTTATTAAAGGTAATTTTTTCAAAGTCTAAAAAAAAAAAAGAAAAATCGTTTTTTTTTTCAATTATTTATTTATTTAATAACCTTGTTTAATTAGATTTTCTTTCTTGTATGATTCTATCTACAAATAGCCCTACCATGCAAGTTCAAATCGAAAAATTCGAAAACGTAAAATTTGCCTGGGGCCTCCAAATTTCTGGAGATGGCTCTACGTTTAGCCCGAAGACCGCTAGGGCTGGCCCGTTTAACTAGGGTTGGGCAGTATAAATGTTTGTATCGAGTAAGTAACATGCTCTTAGATTCTTTGTATATTACAATTTTGCTATTCCACTTCACATGTAAGTATGAGTTGTAATGGATTGTTATGATTTTGAAAGATAATTATTAACAATATTGTTATTGCTCTTAGGGTTAGGTCCTTTTATTTACAACTCGTTTAAATCCGGGCTTTTTAGACCCAGACCGTTTAGCCCGAAGCCCGCTAGGGCTAGCCCGGAACGACTAGGACTAGCCCGTTTAACATCTCTAGTTATTAATAATATCTTTTTCTGCTTGAGTTATTAATAATATCTAATGATGTGGTTTAGCCTAATTGCCCAAATCAATGTCTTTTAAATATGCAATACATCCTAAATGGGTGCTAATAAGTATTATTAATAAGAATTTAAGTGGATATTTGTAATTTTTAAATGCAAATAGGTGCTAATCATCCCTAATGATAATGGAAACTTCTTGCTTTAAGGTGCATCGTTATGCAATCTTCTTATTCAATTAATAGAATTGAGACCTCTTTGTTTACCGTCAATGGGGTTATAACTTAAAAACAGAAACAACCCCAATTGTTTCAATGAAAACTTGTTAGGCCGAAAAACAAAGGGGGAAAACGAAATAATGATGCACAAAAAGTGATAAGGACTTTGTAGCACTAAGTCACTAACAATATATAGAAAATAAAGTGGGCTATTAACATAATGTAGTCAACATTGAATATCATTTCCAATTCTATTACGGCTCCTAATATGACATTGTAATTAGGATAAACTCCACCCCACGTATATATTTCTCATTCTTCATGATTGGAGCTATTTATCTTTAGATTAATATCTTGTGAACAAAGTTAGAAACAAGTCAACATGTAGTGAATGTCATGATGCAATTCATACTAATTAATTAGATGTTTGAAGAATGTTTTTTTTTTCTTTTTTTTTTGAGGGGTTTAATTGCAAGAGCAATGGTGGAGTTGTCTGATCTTTTGCTTGAAGTCTTCAACTCTTGCCTTACCAAAATCGGAGTTCAAAGCGAAGGGACACTAACAACAGTCACATGAACTCACAATACAAGAACTATCTTAGTTTAATAAAGGATTGGCAAATCAAAAAGTGATTTATGTAATAATATTTTATATATTATTCTATTATTGTGGACCATATAATTAGTTGGACCTAATTGAATTAATAGTCAAATTTAATTAAGGTGAATATGTATTTAATGGATTATTAATGTTCTAATATTAAAGAGTCCAATTTGTGAGGTTAGAACATGGGGAATGTTAATTAGTAGGAATAGGTTTGTAGGATTCCTCCTATATATACTACATGCCCCTCTCTCCCATCTCATACGAAATAAAGTTCTCAACATCAAGGCCTTTATGAAAAGACGAGAGACGCGGGAGAGAGAAACAATTCATAGGAAAAGACGAACCCATCATTGGAGATTGGAGAAAGAGATCATAGATCAACATCATATATTAAGAAACCAGGAAGGACTATAAGCTGGATTCTTGTAAGTTTCTATGTGCAATTTAATTTATGCAAAGATCCATATTCTATGAATTGATAGAATTACATACTTAGGGTTTATTCAATTCCGCTTGATAGTTATGAATATGTCCGTTAAATTTCTTACATGTGGTATCAGAGCATGTGTTTGTGCATAATTATATTGCCACATAAAGTGATTGAAATTGTGTTAGCCGCTTGCAATGTATTTTCTGCGACTCCATCGTGAATTGATTCGATCATAATCGTTTCTTATTGTATTGGGTACTTTGGTAATAGCGTACGTATATTACAGTTTGTATCTATATTGATGCTATTATGCCCTTGAACGGTTCATTAATTCGAATGAATTATTTGAATGAATTAAAGTGATCATGACTCAGTTTGCTTATTTGCTTTGCAAATTCATGTGTGTTGGACTTTTAATTTATTCTAGTAGTGCGCATGATCAATATCAAATATATGCATGTGTTGGGAATTATATTTGCTTACATAAAATTGTTGGCGCAAATATGGTTGAGATTTATATGCCTCCTGTTTCATCACGGATTATTTTCTCGGAGCATAACGGATTGTTAAAAATAGTAAAAATATTGAATTGCTGCTTCGTTTTAGTTATGCTGCCTGAAGCCTGATTGTTTAGTTACTGAATTCCTTTCAGTAAACTGTTATATGCGGCATAAATGATATTATGATAAATCATATTCAATTGTTGAGGTAGATGATGGTTTAAATATAATAACCTCATAATAGAATATTAACAATAAACTTTGTTAAAATTAGATTGATTGAGATATGTTATAATTTTGATAACCTCATAAAATATCTATCACATATTTTCTAATTTTATTATCTATGTAAGAAAACTAGTTAGTCACCAAAATGGCCTAGTTTAATTTATGATATAGATAATTAAAATTAGATAAAAATATCGATTATTCAAATATAAAAGGATGCCTTATTAATGTCTCTCAAATTATATATTTGAATAATTGATGTCATGGATTATAAATCGGGATGACACCCAAAGGTGGGCCATGTGTTTATAGTTATGACAATTAAAAGAGAAATTATAATTAATGTTAGGTCAATTAGTGTGTTTGTCCAAAGATAACTTCTAATTGATCAGAATTATATAATTTCTATTAAGGATTAATATTTAATAGATAAGTTATACTTAAAGGGATGTTAATTAGCGTGTTTGTCCAAAGATAACCGCTAGGTGACTCAAGTTTGTATAATCTCTATCAAGGATTAATATATAAACGAGAAATTATAAATATAGTTAGGTTAATTAGTGTGTTTGTCCAAAGATAACCACTAATTAATCACAATACCTATAATTTCTATTAAAGATCTTTCCTGTTAGGCATCAATCAAGTATATTATATATTTAAGTATTTGCCCAAAGGTATATTTAAATATATAATTAAAAAGATTTCTGAATCCATTAATTTTATCTCAAAGCTTAATTAAATAGCATGTATTAAATTTTGCAGCGTTCAAAATTTGGTTATCCGTACAGTATTATAGTTGAAAAATTCAATTGACTGAACTTCAATGAATGGTCTAAGCATATCCAATTTCAGTTAGGTTTATGAATTTGGATATGACTCTAATTATTGATGAAGTTCTCACAACCATTACTGATGAGATTTCCGGAGTAGATGTAACTCTACGTAGGGTATGTGAGCGATCAAATAGGTTTTGTTTGAATTTTATGAAATTAATCATGGTGGATAACATCTATATCTATATCTATATATATATAAAGAGGTTGTTGGAAAAATACATTAATAGAAAGCTTGACCAAATAAATATAATGTTTGACTTACTATTAATGAAAAGTTTGAAAAAAACATATGTGAATCTATAGCAACAAAATCTGAATCCTATTTTTTTGCAACAAATTTGGAGATTCTTATGACAAAATTTGAATTCTATTTTTTTCGTATCATATTTTATTTTTTTACCAAAATTTAAATCATATCTTTTTTTGTAACAATTTAGAGATTCTTATGCAAAAAATGTGTCAATTATTTATGAAAACAATATTCTAAATACAAGTTAATTTAAAAACCTTGCAAATTGGATACAAATTTAAGAAATAAATAGTTGTATAATTCTTAACAAATTCTTCCAATCTTACTGAATATTTTTTTCTTTCAAAAAAAGTGTGTAAATTGGATAAAACCACGTGTAATTTTTATTTTAAAATAAAACTGATATTTGGACGGGATGTATATTCAAAATTGTGTCCACGTTTTTTGGTAACAAAAGCGGTTCATCTTTGATATTTATAGTCACCTTATCCAATTATTTAGGACAAATTGTGTGCAACTTTTTAAAATTTGAAGGCATCGATTTTTTTGGATTCTTATGTTTTTTCTTAACCATGTTTTACGGAAATTTTGGTAAGTTCATATTATTTTTTTTCTTGGTTAAGTTCATATCATTTTCTTTAAGAAAAAGAGACAGTTGAATAAACGTTAACAAATTATTTCAATTTTTTATTAGAATTAGCTTCAATTTAATTTGTTTGGTAAAAAAATTAGTGCAATGTTATGAAATTTCGGTTGCATTTTCAGGAAGAATTCATGATTTTTTATTTGGTTTAAAAAAAATATTCGGATCAATTAGTTTGATAAAAAAATCAGTTTATTGGTAAAAAAATCGGTTTCATTTTCAGGAGTAACTAATGATGTTTTCAATTTTGCTTAATTGAAATTTAGAATAAGATTTAAAATAAATAATGGGTGAAAATCCCTAAAATAATTACTTTTTTTTTTACTTTAATTTTGTTCAATAAATAAGTTCCTTTAATTTTTTTAAAATTTATTAACTAATAACTAAAAATATGCAATTTTGGATAAAATCGAACACCTATGTAGTACTTTACGTGCCAAAGAATCAAATTAATAATGTTGTACATAAGGAAGTATTTAATAACATATAAATTTTATTTTCATGAAATTTTTAATGGCATGAGACAATTTAAATACAAAAATATCTTTAAAATATATATATATATATATATATAATAAATGCTCCCGTGCATCGCACGGGCACCATACTAGTTAAGGTTAATAATACAAAAAGAATTCCTAAATAAAAAATCAAGGAATTATCTCCATTTAAAATTGTGGAAAAGGTTGTTGTGGAAAGTTTCATTAACGAGCTCACCACTATAAAAGTTCGACTGATTCTGTTCCATCCATGATCTCGTGACCCACATGTTCAACATATAAGCTAAACTTACAAACATGAGAATGAATGTGATAGACTCATTTATGATTTTATTCATCATGAACTCCCTACCTGTCAAGTTTGGCCAATCCTTGGTGAACTATAACACCATTAAAGATAAATGGGATTGTAAGGAAATTAAGGCTATGCTGGTGCGGGAAGAAGCGAGAATAAATGAGATGAAAGAAGAGTCGATTCACTTATATCTCATGTGTGAGCCAATAATAGTAAGATAAAATGGGAAATAAAGGCAAGTAAAAGGAGATTAGCTTACTTAAAGTTTTTTTCAGGTCCAATCATTAAAGAAATGAGGTGTTATTTCTGTTAAAAGTTAAGCCACCTCAGAAAAGATTGCCGAAATAAAACCTTGATTCGGAAAGAAAATATACATTAAATTTTCGTATGTTGTGAATCAAATTTATTAAAGATTTCCAATAATACTTGGTGGTTTGATTCTGTGCAACTACTTATGTATGGAGTTAAACGTAGTGCACATAATAAAAATTCCGCTCTCTTATGGCATCAAAGATTATGGTCACATATCCAAAGAAAAGTTTTGAGAATAGTAAATAATGAAATCATTTCTCATTTGGATTTGGTGATCAAGATGTATGTATAAAATGAATTAAAGAAAAGCAAACTAGCATACATTAAAGAGATTTGCCAAGAGAAGCATTAAAATCTTATAACTTATGTACACTAATTTTTTGTGGTCTATTCAACATCCCTTTGTGGGGTGATGTAAAGTGTTTAATCACCATTATAAATGATTTCTCACGTTATGGTTATATTTATCTACTACATGAAATGACTCAATCATTGGACTATCCAAAAATATACAATGATGAGATGGAAAGGTAGTTAGATATATAAGTAAAGTTGTGAGTGTTGGGTTCGATAGTAATGTACGGGCTGTACGCAGCGGAATTTAAAATTTTTAAAGTAAGTATTTATCGTATAAATACAACACCCGTACATACTAATTGCAAATTAACTGATCGTCATCTTTAAAACATGCATCATATACAAATTTTGATTTGTTACTATAAAGTAAATACTAGTAAAAATATTTACCGAATGTCTTGAACTCCTTCACTATTGATGATGGATGAGGGAATCGGTTCCCGGTTGTAACTTCAACGACTTGAGGTTACTCGCTAGAGGAATCCAAGTGTCTTCCCTCTAAACGTATCCACCCTATGAAGCCCGGTTCCGACGACTTTC